GTTTCAATGGCAGTTCTTAGTGCCTGCAAATCATACAATTCACGGACATGGTACTCAGCCTCAGGACCAGTGCCTCGGAGTTCAGACTCAAGTTGATTCAAACGGGCAACCAAGACTTTCTTCCGTTCATCAACTTGTTGCCTGGTTCGTGGTTCTGGCTGTTCTTCATCTACCGCAAAGATTACTGAAATAGGATAGAACAGAAGTGGGATGAAACGCGTGAGCACCGAGAGTTTCAGACATCTCCAGAAATGAGACATTATGATTTGCGTTTGCCGCACAATGAATAATTAATAAACAATAATAGATTCCACGGCTGCGCCTTTCCTTACAGCAAGACTTCAGGTAACCCAAAGAAGAAAGAACAACTACAATTATTTCTAAATTCTATGTCTAACTTCTGCTGTTCTGTGTCTATCTGTGTGATGACGTCCTAAGTGTACAGGTACCACGTCAGGCCCGTGTGATCAGATACAACACACAAGTAAGTATGCACACCACCACAACACAGCAAACGACAGACAGGTAAATATGCCAGCATCAATTGCAACAATTGTTAGCAAGCCTTTTTTCTTTCCCCTGTGTCGTCCTGATGTCAATGCAATATAATACCCCTCTTGACAGCTGGCACTACAGCTGTCTCGTCAGTCAATCAGCCGTACCGCCGTCGTCTTCGGAGTACTTCTCTTACTTGGCAGCAGCCTGCCTGCTTCGTGTCATCCCTGGAGTGCCAACATAGCAGATTCTGCCACGTCAGCACGTCGAGATCCAGTCAATCAGCAATGGGATGCCACGTCAACAAATGTGTAGTCTGATCCTTGCCACGTGCCACTTCCACGTGTCCTATGTGATGCCTTCGTCAAACCAGCCAGTCTGAGCAATGCCACGTCAGCTCAAGGGAACATTGCCACGTCAGCAAGTGATTACCGCTCAAAACAATGCGGTAATCCTCCTCTCGCCACGTCAGCATCCAGTCTTGTCCCCAAAGCCACGTCAGCACCTGCAGTAGACCCTGTCACGTGTCAGCAGCACAAGAAGTGCCACGTCAACAATCAGCAACAAGGTCTTCAGACGTGGCACAACATACCACGTCAGCAAGGGATCGCGCTGTCACTATCGCGATCCAGGCTGGCATGCGATATCTCTAATGGCAGTCCCTTCTGCCACGTCAGCAGCCTGGTAGGGACTTCCTCTCACCAGTGAAGTCTGCACCTCGTCTGCACTCTCGGCAATGTCTTCTCGCCAGTGAAGTGTGTACCACGTCAGCAATCCCCGGCAATGTCGTCTTACCGAACAGGTATGTACCTCGTCAATATTCCCACTATATCCCTTGCCACGTCATCACCTGCTCAAGCTTACTTACCTGAGCGCCACCTGGCGCTTACCGCATTCTAATGTCAATGTCAGGAGAATTGTTCCGATACCAAATTGTAATGAACCCAGATTTTGAGAGAGTTGTCAACAATGCGAGTCCAGAAAAATGTCCATCAGGTGATGATTACAAATAGTCAAAAATCGTGACCAGACAGAAAGAGGTGAGATATCATACACAGACGAAGAGGGAGGAGGGAGAAGAGACAAAGGAGAGGAAGTAAAAATGCCCACTCCTGCTACGGGCTCCCTCCTCCACTGCCACCTCATCAATCAATAGTCTGAATGAGTATCCGAGTATCCTCAATGTGCCACGTGGCACGACTAATCAGTTCCACATCAGCATCTGGAGCAATGTCGMCATGAAGACCACCAGGTACGTATCCTCGAACTTCCCCCCCCACAGTCCTGATCTCCTCCTGAGTACGATGAATCAGAACAGCAATGCCGAATATGTAGTCCCAGTCACAGAACACGTGGACAGCAGCCACGTCAGCAYGATACACGTGGCAGCAGCCACATCAGCGAAGGTGCATGGCAGCTGCCACGTCAGCAGGCCARGAAGACWGGAGCAAGMCGGCCACCAYGCCGGAATAGCAGCASCTCGCCAAGTCACAATGCCAGCAGCGTCRAGCCAGCGTCGCAGCGTCAAGCCAGYGTCGAAGTCAATGCGTGAAGTCAGCATCAACGCAAGACAGAATGTCCTCCCACAGCCAGGAAGTCAACTCTTATGTAGTGTTGACGCAGGGTCTGGACCCCGGCTGCTGTATCCCTGGGCCGTCCAGATCTCAATGCGAATGAGGGCTCARATCGGCCTGAAACCGAATTCCCTCCGGCCTGGATGCTGTATGGGTACCTGCGCACAACAAGTGAGTGTATCCAACCCAGGGCCTGGGTGCAGTACCTTTGACACTACAGTTGACTTTGACTCTTGAATTTCCTGTGTGCAGCGTTCGGTCACACAGCCACACTTGACAGACTCAGGCCCGGGCGTGTCTTGGTCACACAGCCCGGCGCAGGCCAACTCAGGTCTGTGTTTCCAGGGGCCGGGTTCTGGCCCCAGGCGTCTTCTGAACAGGGTTACTGCAATCCTCTCCTTTGCCTTCATCTTCATTCCACACTCCTTTCCCTTACTTTCGCTTTGTCGTTCCTTTTTTCGTATTCTCTCCATCTCTTTTCTCTGTGCTTATCGAACTTTATTCCCCTCCCGCTTTACTCTTCCTCTTCCTCACAGCGTACAAGTGGGCCGTTATGGCACATGCAAGTCCCAGGGCTCGATCCCTAGACCATCACCTTACCTGTGTACAGTATCCGTGTCCACCCCGAGAGTTGAACCCACGACCTGTGTCTTTCCCCACAGTGGTAGGTTGTCGTGGGTCTGTAGGGCATAGGGGTTCGATCTATAGACCTGTCGGATAGGAGTCGTAGCAAGTTCTAGCAGTCGTAGCTATAGTCCTCCAAAGGGTCAAGGTCGTAGCTGCTACAGTCCTGAAGGGTCAAGGTCGTAGTTGCTACAGTATCCGAAAGGCCAGGACTGAAACTTCCGGAAGATCCTGGTACTGGCCTTTCGAAGCTGCTCACGTTTGGGCTGAGGCAAGTGGCCAAGTGGTGGAGTTCACCCGTGCTGAGTCAGCAGTCTTAGTCTCAGTCAGTCCTAGTCCAGTCAAGCAAGTACCACATAGGACTGTGTGCACCACGGGCATGGGAAAGGGGCAGACCAACGAGATACAGAAGTATAAATCAAGAGGCAGCGCCCAGCCATTCGTTCATTCCTGCTTAAGCCATGTGGAAGCGCTGCCACAGCGACTTGTGCAAGGTGGTCTGCAGTGAGCCCGAAGACGAAGTGGGCGAGAAGGAGAGCTTAGCCATAGCGATAGGAGTAGAAGCGGCCATAGCCGCTATAGCTGACAGGAGAGTGTAGTGTGTGTGTGTGTGCGTGTGTGTACAGTGTGATGCGTGTGGGATATCCAGGGTGATCCAGTGTGTGTGTGAACAGCAGAGTTGGGTTGGCGACGAACAGAGAGTTGTACAGGCGCTGTTGCGCCATAGGTGTTCGAAGTGAGCTTGTATCTGAACTGCGTTCTTGGCAACCATATCTCTGAGTTCTGAGCGGGCGCTTGTCGCCAGTTTGCTGCACAGCCTGTTTACATGCATGTGAAGTGTGAAGATAGCGAGTCTGATTGCATCAGTATCGGAGCTGGTACCCGCTATTCCACGCTCGATCGTCGTGTGCCGCAGGGAGCGTCGAGCGCCATAGCTGAAGGCGCTATCGGAGAAGAAGTCTGCCATAGCGGATCCGCAGGTTGAAGAACTCATCGCGCGCACCTGCAGAGAGGACGAGGACGAAGAAGAGAGAGAGAGAGAGAGAGAGAGAGAGAGAGAGAGAGAGAGAGAGAGAGAGAGAGAGAGAGAGAGA